CTCTCTCTCTCTCTCTCTCTCTCTCTCTATATATATATATATATATATATATATATTGATCCATAATAACGAGGATGAGAAATTCACTATATAATTTCATGATGACCACAGTCGCATTTTAACTTAATACAATTTTCATGATGATTAGTATTTGATCTTGTGCATTTGCACAGATATAAAACACGTTTTGTTTGTATTTATTAATTAGACATGTACTTCTATCATATACAAATTATTACTTTTTCATTTTTATCATCAAAATTAATTGAGATTCATGCAACATTTACATTAGTAACATGAATAAAATAATTTATATATTTGTGGCATATATTGAAAAAATTAACATAAATAAAAAAATTATTAGTGTGTAAATGATTTTTTTTTTTTCCGAAACGATAGAGGTACTATATTAATAAAAAACCGCACAACGTGCGAAGAGAAGCAGCCAAAGGCTGAATATTACAACCGAAAACTAGAAAAACTGGGAGGCAGATCTGAAGATCGCCGAAGCCTGATCTAGCAACGCTAGAATAACAAAGCTCACAACAACACCAACCTACTACACCAACAAACTAAAAAACTAACAAGGCTCCCAACAGGAGAATACCTGAGTGTCGGCTCCCAACAGGAGAATAAGATTGACACTCAAGCGCACAGAGGCCAAATAGCCCAAACCAAAAACACAGAACAAGCAACAAAACAAACACGGACTCAAAACACAAGCCTACGACAAAACAAAAACAAGAAAAACACCAACTAAGCAAAAAGCCTTTCCACAGCATAACAGCCAGCCCACACCAGCGGAGAACAGTCGATGACAAAGAATAGCCTAAGTCCGGAGACGACTTCCGAAACTGCCACAAGGCCTATACAAGAAGACAATCCCAAACACAAACTAAACTCCGAAACGACCCGCCTCAACCGGAGGAACAACCGAAACCACACCCACGCTAGCAACTCCCAAGCTCGCCTAACACCACTAGCCAAGCGTAGGAGCACCAGACCCTATCATCTATCACCACTAGCCGGAACAGGGGGTTGGCACGGGCCCTCAACTCCGACACACCATCAGAACCCCGCCCCGCCTCTCAGTCCAAAAACCACCCGATACCACCGCAGTCCACCGGCGCCAGGATAAGAAGACCCCGAACGAAGATCCGCGGAAAGACGGGACTGCCCGAGGGGCCCACAGTTCGCACTCAGAATCAGGCAAGGGAACCAAAGGAGAAATTGGTGGAGAACTCACCGCCAGTGGACGACGCCGCCAATAGCAACCCGATCGACGACCGGCGAGCTCACCGCCTCCAATTTCCACAACACCGACGAACAAAACCAGAGCCATCCGACACCTGTGCTCCGCAGCAACACCTGAGGTCCGGATCAGAAGAGGTGAGGCGGCGGTCGAGCACGACCACCGGTCGGCACTGCACCGTCGCCGAGGAAGGCGATTCAAGTCCGAAGAGGAAGAACTAGGGTTTGTGGGCGATTTCGGGGGAAGCAGAGAGGAAGAGCTGAGCGTGTTAATGATTTTTAGAAAAAAAAAATATGTGGGAGAGTTACAACAATGCAACCAAATATAGCAGTTACAACTCTGAATGTGCCAATCAACTTTAAGCTTGATGTCCGTTTTCGCAATATCAATGAACACAAAATTCACGGTCAGAGAGTGGAACTTCTTGTAGCCGTTGAGCCAATTCGTCATCTTGGCCCACGCAGGTAGGTGTGCCTTATCTTGAACAGGAACCCTAGAAACCAAAGAAAAATACTATCGGGAACAAGAGCAGAGTTGATACGTCAATAGGTTATGGGATAACCTGAAATAAGATCGGAGATTCAACGATGAAGCCATATTTGATCGTTGAGGAACGCTCTCAACGAGAGAATGGGCACGCTCTCAACGAGAGAATTTGAATGGTTTGTTTCTTACCAACTATATTTCTACTTGAATAGAAAAACTGTGCTTTTGTCAAGAACATGTTCAACAATAAATTTTAGTCACCACTCAAAATCCAACTTTCCCCATTTTTCTAAATTTTGACAACCAAAGGACGACTTATTATTAGAACCAATACGGCCAAATGAACAATTAAAAAGAAAAAAACAAAAAAAATTGACCACTGAACGACATGAACAAGAACCAAGTGTGATGATAACTAGCAAGAACAAGACTTCGAACTGTTGTGAACAATTTTACAATAGCGGATGAGGATCAGTATGCTGGGACGATCACAAATTCAACAGAAACCATAGAGTATACACAAAAGATAACATGAATATATTTACAAAAAAAATCCACAGCCTTCGGCCATAACTGTGCTCAGAACTAACCCTCTAACATACAGGGAACACAATACACAGTACTGATCTAAGCAAGCTCTAAATATGCCCTCAACAGAGCAGGAATACGAATGGGCAGCTACAAAACAAGATGAGACACTGTACACATCTACCTCTACAATCTGCCTCTATCACCCCGAAAGCCCTAGCACAATTCTAATGTACAATATTCGCAAAATTCGAACTGCCCAGTGCCCTCTCATAATTTGCAAGAGAACTTTTAATCTTAGCCAAACACGAATCCGGCCCACAAGCTTCACTGAAGAAAATGCAAGGCACGTCAAACGTAAAAATATGCAAATAAGAGTTTGTTTTCTTTTTAAAGCAGGAAAATGCATATATTGAGGTGGAAGTCAATCTGAATTTGGAAAATTCAGCAAAGCATACTTTAAAGGTTAAGATAACTACACAAAAATATCGAATATAGGAGAAGATAAAAAATAACATATTAGATCATGGTCTTTGGACAAACTGTCGTTAATTCAAATAACCAACAAAGATTTCACATTTAACATATTTCCTCTGAAATATCGAATTTACTTGAGTAAAAGTGCTAAAGAAAGTACCCACTTTTTCAAGAATGCCAACTGATAAGCACAAAACATAAATACTGTAATATGATGACTGACCTGTACACCGACATCCCAAGCGAATGCTGACCAGACAAGGACCAGCGAAAAAATCACAGTCACACACCTGTTTTTACAGGCCTCATTTCAATCTACGGTCACCTGGCCCACCACCCAAATTCCCATTTCCCGATTGAAGAACCTCCCCTTGCGGCTGTGAATGTTGTGGCAACAGCTGGCGCTGCTGGGAGTTCTGAGTGGCTGACGCACTAGCTTTTGAAAGCATTGACCCACCTGAATTCATATTTTTGGCAGAATTTAGAGTGGTTTGATCCAATAACAGTTCTGAACCCTGCCACTGAGTGGCACTTGCACTGCCTCTGGCCTGGGGCAATGTCGTCACTTTATCCATCTCGGACGAGCTGCTCGTTGGATTCTGATCACTACTAGGATCTCTCGTCTGCAATTTATTCGGCTGTTGTGCCACTCTTTGATTAGGCAACTGATTATTTGTCACCAACTTTTGGTGAGACATCTGTTGGTGGTTCGAACCAGCTACCGGGACATGGCCTAAATTGCTCTTATCTGTAATAGACAATGAATGTAAATTCTTCGCCGACTGCGAACCTTGACCTGGATGGTGTTTTTGTGCAGGCACGAATTGGACCGGACTTGTAGAAACCCCGTTTACGAGGGCACGGTCGATCATGTTATTCGGGTGCGCCACCAAGTTCGCTCTCCCGGCTCCCTTAGCCACATTATTATTAACCAGTTGTTGGGATTGCGCTTGTTGCCTCTGTTGAGGATGTGGCCTGTTGGCTTGCGACAACTGGTTCTGTTGCTGCCTTTGACGTTGCTTGCTGGTCTGACTGGTTCCGCCGGCTGGTGCATTACGTGCAGCTCCCTGGGCAGGAGCTTGCTGTTTCAATGAATTCATTGGGGAAATTGACACTGGTGGGGAGCCTGTCTGAGGCTGAACTTGCAGATTACTTTGCAACGGAAGTTGGGGCTGTGGGTGAATAGTGTGTTGGGGGGTCACAGAATTTGATGCGTTGCTTTGTGGCTGTTGTAGGATACGATTTTGCTGCTTTTTCTCTTTAGCCAGGCGCATTGCATAAGCTTGCTGCTGAGGGCTGGAGGTCTGATTCACAGTGGATCCTGGGAAATGTGGGTGATGACGTGGACTAAGGGCCTGAAGCTGCTGGGGAGATAATGGGTGGTGAAGAGGGTATGATGGCACTGGTGGAGATACAGTCTGGTTAGGGAAAGGGGAACTCAACTGACTTAAGTGCCGGGGCATTTGGCTGTTTCCAGGTGGAGCCTGCATTTGAAGGTCAGCAGGCATCATTGGCTTCTGTGAATCCTAACCCCCAGTAGGGTGCAAGATCAAAATTAGCTTTAATACGTTGACAGAAAAACACACGTGCAACAGTAATATTATAATATATATATATATATAGAGAGAGAGAGGGGTATATGCATAACAGGAAACCAGCGCAGAATGGACAAAAAACACATGTTCTCCAATCAGAGCAAGCGAGGCAAATAAAGCACCGTTGCACCAACAACGGTAGCAAGCCCTATCTAAAAATACATAAACTAGCAACACATGCGCTGAAAACAAGTATAAGCAGAAATCAGGCTGCAAGATAAGAGGAGTGTAGCAGGCAAATAAAATAAGTTTCGAAAAACATAGCATCTAGTTTCACCACATACATTTCCAAAAGCTTCCAGACAACGAAAGCAAATTAACAGACACAGAGCTAGAAAGTAGAAAATTAATATATAAAACATACTCTCATCATGTGCAAAGCTTCACGAGGCCTCAACATCGAGCTTCCTGGACCAGAGCCTACTCCAGAATGCACATTTGGTGATGATATACCAGAGGAGACTTTACTTCCAGAATTGACAACAGGTGGTGATGCAATCCCTTGGAAACCAGGTCTCGCCATCGGCATACCTCTGCTACCACCACTCACTAAACCCAGGCCACTACCACCAGGAAGAATACAGCCACCACGTTCGGCCCCCGGAAGAGCACCAGGAGAAGAAGTGGGTTGAGGCACACTCCTGCCAGAGAGCATCTGATTATATTGATGCATCCTCTGCTGCTCATCAGTCATAGTTGGTGTAGGTCTCGGAGGCACATATCTAGCATCTCTATTAGAGGCAAGAAAAAGAAGGGATGGGGGAAGGAAAAATCAAAGAACGGATCACCTACTAGAAAATATAACGATTCAGGGTTGAAAAAGACTTTTAAAAGGTCAAAACATTACCTGACTGAGGAATTGAGAGACGAGGAAGAAGACGAGAAGTTACTGCCTACTATCATAGACGGGGACCCTTGCAATGATGAAGTGGGGCCAGATGCAGAATGCATTGGAGTCACAGTTCCTTGATTTGGAATGGCTAATCCACTAGAGTGCGGCCCTTGATACCCAAGAGGAAGCATATCATTCCCAGCAATGGTGGAGTCGCACAGGTCCAGAGGGCTTCCGTGGAGCAAGTGTTGGTAAAATTAGGAGAAAACGGAAAAGAGTTATACTAGTCAGTTGAAACCAGGAGCATTCAATTCTAACCACAATCGTTTCAATTCCAATCACAACATTAAATCAACTTTGTATCTTACGTTAAAATGGGTCCTCCATTCAAGTTATTCGGACAAACTTGGGAAAGAGCAATTGTGTGAGAACTATGTGGTTGCTGGAGTTGTTTTGGATCCTGGTTATCATTGTTGAACAAAATCATGTCAACAAATGCATATCATAATCAAGATAATACTAGATAATAAATGGAAACATGGATCAATTAATGGCATCCTCATTCTAGTTTCACATTTAATAAAGCAGAAGAAAATGAAATGAAGGGGAGCAAAATGTGACTGAATAAACATGCCCGCCTTATCAGACAAAATTATGTATGTCAACATCACATCAAGTTCAAAACTTATACCTGAGTTTTGTGGTAATGTTGTTTCTGACCAATAATGATGATCTTCTCAAAGTGAGATTTGAGGGTATCTTCCTCCATTGGCCCCTGCAGCCGTTGAAATAACTGTCTCGCACTTCCCTATATGAAGCAGAAAACATACCAGTAATTTAATTTAAATACATATTATAATTATAATTTAAACACATATTCCAGAATTGAAGTTATTGGTAAAATTTCTATGCAGCGCAAGCTTTCATTCATAATTGAAGGAAGCAAGCATCTAAACAGGACAACATAAAGCATTTCACCTTGGGAATTCCAGGTAAAGTAGAAGGATAAGGTTGAGAAGATCCAGAATCTTCGGCACTATCTGCTCCATCACCAGAAGTTCTATCCATCAAAAAATTGTGTCTCTCTTTGCACTCCTTAGCTTTCCGAAATATGCACTGCTGACATGACATAGCATTAAAATTTTCTTGATAAAAATACATTAACAAATAAAATTTGAATATGATAACCATCATCAAGAAGGATACAGATTAACCTTACCTTGAACTGAAGAGTATTGTTAATAGCATCACTGACGAGCTCCCAATTCGGGCCCAGGTCATGCGCAAGGACAACAAGGGCCTAAAAGGATTTTTATATAATTAATAAGTAACACATGTCTATCATCATTAAATCATGTTCATACACATGCAATTCAGTAAATCAACCTGGTCTTCAAAGAGTGTCCATGGACTTCCTGAACCTGGTGGTCCAGCAGACATCTGAAAGAAATGAAATTGCTTAAACCAAGGTTTCCATCAAACGGTTTACGTTCAACATATATTTAACAAAAAACAGCATCAATGAATGGAAAATATACCTTCAGAAGCTTCTGTTTCCTACCCCGATCCCGTCCACCAAGCATTTTAATAAATTTATTTGGATTGGACATGTTACTCATTTGGGAAGTCACTGGCGAAGGTACAGAACCACCAAATGCTGTAGTATTCTCAAAAGAGTGATCTTGTGACTGACGCATAGTTTTCTGCTTCTTTGCCATGGGTTTACCCAATAAACCTTCAAGCGTGATATATAGCACATCAGACATGATATAAAATGTATTCATTATGAACATCACCATTAACTTGAAGGTGAACAAATGTTACCACTACTGCAATTAGATTCATGTGGATGACTCTTCCTCAAGTGATCTCTCTGAAATTGTAAAAAGATTAGTATGATGCAAAATTCACTTCAAAAATGCCAAATAATTTGGGGAACGAAAGAAGTAAACCATCCCTGACCAAAATAGGAATATATGAAAACACAGCAATTGTCATGCCTTTGCTTCTCTGATGAATACAAATGGATAACAATTTGACAGATGTAACCAAAGAGAATTCCTCCTGACTGTTAAGTAGATACCACTTCAATGAGCTTTGACATACCATGTACAGAAAAGAGAAAATGCTATAAATGATGTTTCATGAAATAAACAGATCATAAATACCCCCCCTAAAGAAGGCATATGCAACACTTACTACAGTTTGTTTCATGCCTCGGTGCAAAAAGGAAAAGGAAAAAGGTTACATTTAAATTATATGACAGGATTCACCTGCTCATTTTGAATCATAGAATCAGCCTGCCATCTCGGTTCATATGCAGCATTCTGACACTCACAAAAACAAGAAGGAATTAAATAAAAATTTCAGTACACAAAATTAGTGCAAACCTACAAGAACTACATATTGCATACCAGATGCTTTGCTTTCTTCTTCTTCTTCTTCTTATGCCTCATCAATACTTCCGCAGATCCAATTGCTAATTGCTTCTCAAACTTCACAGCTGATTCAACTTCCACATTATATGGAGCATGTGTGTCCCCTTGCAGAGTACTCTGATCATCCTGATATGAATTGGTATCACCGCTTGAAGCATCTGTTTTATTTCCCTGAAGAAATCCAGATGTTCCTACACTAAAAGGGCTTACAGCTCTCCTAGAAGCAGTTCGGACACGTTTTGTTGGGATTGACACACTAAGATTGCCACCTGGCCGTTTGGCCAGTAAAGCAGATTGATGCACAACTTTGTTTTCAGCATCCTGCATTTGTGATATATCAGAGACTTCATATGGTCTGGCACCATATGCGTGCATCAAGTGTTTCTGCTTCTTTTGGCCGAATCCACAATTCTTGCTATCTTCAATTGATATGTCATATGTGTTTGTTTCCCTCTCATCCACCACTCCATTATCTTGAAAATCAAAGCCTTCAGTCAAAGGGAACACTGAGGTAACAAATAATTAAAATAATAAGACAGATTCATGAAGCAACTGCATCAAATTTACCTGCAGCTGCATTGCATGCAGATGTTTCTACTTCCTCTATCACAGCAGGCGCTATTCTCTGGACAAGTGCATAAAGAATTTCAGATTGGATAAAATATTCATGTGAAAGAACTTTAGTATAAACCCCTACTAAGAGCTCCCTCCAGAAGAATTAGAGAACAATGTATTTTCTTTTCCCAAAGTCTTGGTCAGAAAGTTTGGTTTGACTTATTGGCTTCATCACAGAACAAATTTTTTTGTTAACTTCAGGGAAAAGTTGGTCAGGGTTTTACAACATTTATAGCCATATAGTCAATCTTACGAAAGCCATAATGCACATAATAGCTGAAATGCTGCATAAGCATTTACCTGGAACTGGGCCACATGTGCTTCGACTGAACTTCTGTAGATTTCCATGGTTCCTGGAAGGACTCTGTAGGAGAGATTATCCTGAATCATGACAAGTTATAGATGAGTAAATAAAGTATGTGTATAGCTTCACTGAAAGAACTTGCAGAGCTTCACTCAAATAGCGGATAGCGTCATATTAATCATATTGCATGCACACATGAAGTAAGATCAAGCAGGTAATCAAGGACAAAAAAAAAGGTTAGATTTAGGGTTATGAAATGGTAGGAGAAGGCAGGGATAACGGGCACAATAGAAAACGGAAAAGAGAAAAAAAGAGAATTATACAGTGAATGAGAATCATACTTCCATCAAATTTTCATTCCATGAGGGGTCAAGTGTTCCCATATCAGATACTCCATCTGGTGTTAGCGGCAACTCAACTGGGTTGAAGACAACATTGAAATTTTTATACTTTTGAAATCTCATTGCGTAGGCCTGAACAGAATGTTCTTCTTCTCCTTGTACCTGCTGATCCAGTACTTTGCTTTTCTCCTGCCATTCCATAAACACTAACAAACGTGACACCATTTCCCACAAATCTTCATAAAGATCACTATCTACCTCAACAACTTGTCTAAAGGTCAACCCAGCCGAAAGACAGATAAAACATATAATTCGCAAGGAGAAAAGTAGGCAAACACAGTTAACCTATCAATTAACCTCTCCCTCAAAGCAGGAGCTACAAAATTTGAATTCATCACATACTACCACATGGAATTAAGCGTTTACAATACACATTGTCAAAGTTTTATTCACATATACCCAGTTTTGGGGCAGAGAGATACCAAAAGTATTCTAGTCATTCATTCCTGTGACGGTTGAAAAAAAAAAACGCAATGGGAAGTGTGAATACCTAGAATCTGTCATTTAAAGTTTGAAAGTAGACCTTCACCTTATTCAATGAAAATGTTAGAAGTTTGAAATTAGACCTAGCCAGAACATAAATATTTTATGCAATACAAGTCATTCACACATTACAGTATTTCCATTGCTCTTCCAATGGGCTAAATCTTCCAGGACATCAGTTACAATATATCACCTACCAAATTGAATTTGTGTATGCATATACACTCTCTCATACATACAATATTCCAAACAGCAAGCCAATTCCAAGAAGAAATTATTTAACATACACCAAGCAGCAGTGATGGAATTAAGCGGAAAAGATATGTGAAATATCTGCATCCATCGGGAAGGCTAACCTCAACTGATTGCCAGAACTCCATGACAGATTTTGCCAAGGAGTGAGCAACTTTCTTTGCCTCCAAGTGAAAGCTATTATCCCGTTTTCTCACACAAGAAGTAAAAGCAGCCCTAGAACTCATTTGAGCTGCAGCAGCTATTTTCCAAATACGCTCCTGCACAACAAGAAAGCTTTCAAAAGAGAGACTATAGCATCCAAGAAAGGAATTTATGTATATTACAGATGAACGGTACATGGAAAATACTCCAAAACAAATCATGAAATATTTAAACTACTCTAGAAACAAAAAGTTCAGAACATTGGGAAGTCAAACCTGAGCGAAATCATTTGCCAACCATGCCATTTCTTCAAGCACATAATCCCAATGTGATTTAAGACGGATTTTCTTCGGGGAGTTTGCAACAGACAACTCAGCTATCCTCTTTCGCTTTGCCTAATCACGAAATTAAATCAGATATGTGGATCCAAATAGCTAAATGAAAATGTTCTTCATGCCCAACCATATGTTAAAGAATTCAAATGCAAATTTAGCAATATAACCTCTATGATTTTTGCTTCTTTCAAAATTGAGTCTTCATCTATTGTTCTTGTCAGTTTCGGATCAGACCCCGTTGACATCTGAGCCTCAATGGGAGCAGCAGAAACCACCGGAAAATCTGGATTTGAGATTTCAGTAGAATCCTGATTCTTAAGGGAGCAAGATCTGTCATCGTTGGGGCCGGATTGGTCAACTGAAGGGTCAGCAGATCTTCTCTTTGAGTCTGATTCAGTAAGTTTACGAGCTCCCATTACTTCATTAACAGTTGGGTCTTTCACCTCGTCTTTCAAAGCAGGTCCGTTTTCATTCAATTCTTCCTCCGGTTGGAGTTTAACTCCATCCTCTTGCTCAGTTTGACATGCAACAGAGCTCTCCACAGTGACAGGAGTGAAACTGCCAATTGCACTCACTTCCTTTTCTTTCACTGACTCATTACCTCCAAGAACTAGAACCTTGTCTGATACAGAGATTTGATCTTTAATCAGCTCATTTGGGTCAGTACTTATGATTTTAGTAGTATTAGCATCATTAGCTCCATCAATACTTTTGCTGGTTCTAGTGCAAGATGACTCAGAATCCAATCCCTTCATGCCGCATGAGGCACTGATATGAGCATCATTTTCCGTTCCTTCACCCTTATCCCTGCTGAAACCATTCATCTTCTGAGTGCTAAATTTATTGTCAATGTTTTTTGCAGTCACACCTGGCTGAAACTGGATATCCGCAAAAGTCACCCCTTCCATTGCTGGAATGGTCTTGGGTACTTCTGAATCCATATGAATAGAAGTTCTTGGAACATCCGAGAGAGATTGCCGGTTATGTTGATCATGGAGTTGTAGTTTACAAGCAATAGCTTCTGATGCTGAATTCAATGGACGACCTTCTGTTAGGTCCTTAGTTGGTTCTCCAGCCTTTAAGCCATCTAACTCAATATCCTGCTGACTCTTCGTCAATCCATTTTTGTGACTGGTATCATCTACTTGACTGGTAGACTTACAACGCAAATTTGATAATATAATTGGGTTTTCTACATCAGATATGAACCCTTTAGCATCCTTGGGTTCATGAAAAGAAGGTAAAGAAGAGCCACGACTGCCATGTGCTTGATTTACATCAGCTGAACTTGGCCTAGTTCCATCACGATTTATGCGGGACCTGTACCGCCTCTTATACGCTTTTCTGTGGAGGTCAAACGTAGTTGAATCCCCATGTTCCCCAATTCTACGGTAACCACTAGCATCAGATAACTTTTCTGATGACACTATGTTACTCCTACTAGGATGTGATGATCCCCTATTGCCCACAGATAACTCACGTTCAGCATCAAATAACATAAGGTTATCTGCACTATTGGGTTCACAAGGATTTGTCCCAAGTCTACCACTACTTTCCACAGAGTCTCCATGAGGTGATGCAGTAAATGCAAAACTACCTTTTGCTTCACTGTAATGCCAAAAAATATTAAAAAGAACATTGTGCATAAGGTCATAAAACCTGAAGGCAATTAGCAAAACTAATAAACAAAATTTCAACAACACAATAATACCTAGTCACAAGTTGATCAGCATGTCGTTCAATACACGAGGTAGACTGTCCACTTACTGAAGCAACATTCCCTGACTCAAGGTCTAAAGGATCGCCGCCCTGCCAACAAAAAAGAATCAGGAACTGCAAAATGTTCAATATATATTGACTACAAAGAAATAATGTTGTGGCCCCATACTTCCAAAAGAAACTCCAACTCTTTTTTCGTTTTGTCCCGAATCTCACAACGTAGCCTGTTGTCACAAAAAAATTGTTTAAGGAAATGACAAAAAAAGAAGAAGAAAGAAACGAAACTTAAAACAAACATGAGAAGTAATTGAATACAGCACAACTACCTGAGCTCTGCACGACTCTCCTCGATTTCTGCTCGCCTGGGAGAAGTTTTATCTGCAATACCAACTCCACTTTCAACAGCTCCTCCCATAGAAACAATTTCGGCATTGACTAAGAAAACAGATGTTGGACTGCATCCATAAACTTCGCAGTTCAACAGCTACAGATAATTTCCGCCATCAACACAAGACCACAAAGCAAACTCCAAAATCCTAAAGAACACAAACAAAACGGCTTAAAGGAGACAACAAAAAAACTAAGAAATAGCAAGTGCACCAATCTACTATTATGATTTAGTAAAGGATTCTTTTTTTCCATTTGTTCTCTTTGATGTGGAGCGCCAGATTAATAATACTACCCCTAAACAGGTTGAGCCAACACCCAAGAACCTTGAATATAATAATGCATACATGTCCAAATACTGAAGTTCCAATGTGCAAATCTGTCAAGTACTTAAACGGCCTTCGGAATCATCAGAACCAGATACGAGTCATTCACCAAGGTAGTGATACAATGTCCAGGAAGAGCTTTACAGTTAAAAAATTACAGGAATAGGGTTTTAAAGAGGCAATAGTGTGAAAGGTACCAATTTTCCAACGCATGAAAATATCAACCAAATAACTTGTCCAGTCCAAAAGGCTGATGCCTAGAAAGCTTAAATTTTAAGCATCTCATAGTACCAACAGACATTCAAATAGCCCAACTCAGAGTAATAAATCTGGGAAATCAGATAGAAAACATCAAACACACAAAAACTAAACAGCTTATTATGGTAGGGCTGCTATTTTAAAAGACCAGATCAAGAGAATATACCAGCTTGATACTGCTTTGCCTAAACCCACAGGTCAACGTTGTTAATTGCTAGAGATAGCAAAAGGATGACAGAGAAGATGACACGAGTTTAGGTAGAAAAAAGAATATAACAATGAAAACGAATGGTAAAACCATCAACTAAGAAAACACCATGGATAAGCCAATACACAACAGCTCGAAACATAGGAAACTGTACTAAAAATATCTCAATATAAACCAAACATTATTAATGCTGACACAGTTAAACCATCGATAAGATAGTTTATTCGTCTTCCAAAGACTACCTAAAACAACATGATCAAAAAATCCTACTAAAATTTCGGCAAATTCAAAATGCTAAACAATTCTCTAGAAGGGCATAATTATACAAGGACAAGATCAGCAGGTCACAATCAGACACACGCACGAGTATTAGCATTGGTATCTTTGCTACTCCGTGAATGGACCTAATTGTATCCTAATGCAATATCCAGATGTCCCAACAATGACTGGATGGCTTTAGGCAAAGTTCATCAAAATGCCAGGTGCTGTTACGACTTCTGTTCAAGAGAGCAGAAGGAGAAGGGGGTCGTGACAAAAGACGCCCAAAACTATCATTTCGAATGCCAAGAATGTAGCTAAATAAGCTTTCCTACCTACTTGCCTATCTGATCAACTAATACCTAGAGAAGAGTAGGGAAAACTCAAAGGCAGTGCTCAGAATAACAGCATGAAAAACTAACGACTCCCATGTGATCAATTGCAACCATTACAGAACCTTACAAGCAGACATCCACTGATAATGTACTCAAAATGCAAGTGAACAATGTTAACAACAATTTCTCATCCATTTCCCCAAAATTAAACCCTCAAGTAGACCATAAGAAGTGCAGAAAATTTCTAGGGTTACAGCAAACTTGAGCGGGAGCTTCAAATTCTAGGTTTTTTTTCGCTGGGAATGCGGGAATAGTACCTCAATTGTGACTAATCACAAACCAATAGACAGACCCCGGCCAATTTTCTCTTAGGTCCAAGAGTTTTGCTTCTGATGCACAAGGTACCTCAACTCAAAGCATATGTTTGCCCTAGATTACGGAAAATTACCATAACCCTAGAGCATGGGCAAAGAGACAAATAAATACATACAAATACGTGCACGTATAGGTCAGTGCTTGTGTTTTGCTTGTGATTTTGAGACAAATATGGTGCTTCAGAGTCCTCCCCTTCGTGCTCCTTCGTTTCCAAATCTCTCTCTCTCTCTCTCTCTCTCTAAAATGGCTGGTAATTTATTTTTCTCTCTCTAAAAAGATTGTAAACAAAAAGGAAATCCAGCGCCACAGTGGGCCGGAGATGCAGATCATGAATTGGGCTTTTGGGATCATTTATTTTATTTTATTTTTTTTCTTTGGGAAAGAGGTCATGGTGCTAAGTACAAAGTTATGCTCTTTTTGGTTGTAAGCCCAATTTAAAAATAAAAAATTGGCTCCTTCCAATATCATTATTGAACAAAATAAAAATTGTTTCTCCCTTTTTGCTAGCTAGCTACGTGCAATACACGTGACATATATATTAAATGAGTTATTTTAACGTGTTCTGTCAATAGGGTTATCATTTATGTTTCTCCTCTTTTAGTCTGAGTTAAGTCTAAAAAATAATAACGTTATAATCTAGTTTTCACCTCTCTTTTATAACCAGTGTTTTTTTTTATCCAAAACATTAAATATGAACATGTTAAGACTAACTTGTAAAATAGTTAATATATTATCTCAACAACAAATTTATACTAATATAAGTTTGATTTTAGCATATATATTTATTCCTTGATATTCGAGAAAAATAACGGTTTTACTTATTCTTGTTCATCATATCATATAATACTTTATTATTATTTTATTATAAACTTTGTTGTAATATAATGTCATTATTGTTTACAAAAGTTATAGAAGTTGTACGTCTTTTTTATCTTTTTATTTTATATAATGAAAAATATTTAATGCACGTTACTATTATTTATTTACGTAATCAATTTAAAATATGTAAATAATTTAAAATCAGATAGTGTATAAATATTTTACAGAATATACACACATTTTTTTTTATAATTTTATGTTGTATACCAATTAAACAATTTTGATTTGGCAAATGCCAAAAACTCAATCTCTTCTATACTCAAGGTTTTTCTAATTTGTATTATAATAATTTATAGTTTATTTAGCATACTCTATAATGAAAATATATTTTACAAGAATTTCTTTACAGAAAGAAATAAAAATAAAATAAAAATATAAAAAAATATTCATGATTGCCAATTAATATATTTCAATTATTATACAAAGAAACTGTAAAGAACAATTATTATATTTCAATTATAATTTTTAACCATTAGTAAAACTATTCAATGTATCTGGTCATATCTCATAAATGGTAAATTACTTTAATTTGAAGAATAATTTATATTTTATATATAATGAAATAAAACTTAAGAAAAAATATATTGAAAAAAAATTAATTCACCAACTTGATTTCGCCTTTTTAGTTGGAAGAGAACATTATACCAAACTTGTTATGATTTTTCTATAAATATTTAAAAAGTGAATACTTGTAAATAAAATTAATATTATAATTAGAACTTAAAATATGTTGTTTTATTTAGCTTGACCAAAATATTATCAACATTAATCATGGAAAATAAATCTTGTAATTTATTATAGTGGATATCAATGAAATTATTGCAGATATTAATGAAATTATTTAAGGAAAAAATATTTTTGATCATATCTAATTTGATATTAATAGTGCGGTACCCGTCCAACGCGCTTGCTAGTTTTATTAAGGTAAACACTTAGATTTGGATGATTAGATGATTGAACGAACGTAAAATCATGAATTGGAGTGAAACAAAATGTAACTTATATATTATTAAACACATCCTTGTACACAATATTATTTGTTTAGTCTTTTAGTACGTCGTCTATCACCACACACAAATTATTTTAGGATTAGGCTTAAATAATCAGTTACATTGATTAGCAGGATGTATATGATATGATTTATAATGCTTTTATGAAGATTGCATAGCCAAATTTAGCGAAAATTGTAAAACGTCTTTCTTGATAATCTATAGCCTTTTTATTTTAAATTGTAAATTATTTAATTTAACAAAGTGAAAAATTGTGTAAGTGTATGCAATTAATTTCAATTTGTATTCTAGATAATTAAACAAAACCCAAATTTTTAGATGTTCCAATCTGATTTCATTTTAAATTTCAAATTACTATTACCTGACTTTGTTTTATGTTTTTTTTTTTTTTTTTAAATCTGAAGTAAAGAAAGTAGTAGCCAAATGATAAAGATTTTTAAATTTTAATTTTCAATTTAGAAATTGGGCCCGATTTATCTGATGTTTTTTTAATAAGAATGAGTTATTGCAATTAGCTAAAGATACATGTTATAGTATTTTGCATAATTCAAAATTTCCTGATTTTATGGTGAACATATTTTTAATAAAAAATTAAAGAATTTTTACTTTTACAAAATTATCATGCCGAATTTAACCTAAATTAATCATATTTCTATGCAATTCGTTTTTTTAATAAACAACTGATTTGTTGCAAATTAGAAAAAGAAATATTTGATAGTATTTTGCCTTATTCGAAATTTTTTATTTCATGGTAATCAATTTATTTTTAATAAAAAATAAGAAAGAATTTTGATTTTGCAAAATTGTAAGCATCAAGTGAAATTTTTCTAAATTAAATCTACAAAACCCATGAATTTAGGTGCATATAGTTGATCGATTTTTGTGAAAATAATTTAAAAAGAATTTTAAAAAACTGCCAAAAATATAATGCAGTAAATGCTGGTTGACTTTTTTTGTTACTATTTTTTATAAATAGGTTCTCTCTTTATATAGATATAGATTTGAAAATTTGTATATGAAGCAATTAATGCATATATTTAAAAAGTTTCTAAAAAAATTATGCATTAAATGTTCCTAAATTTTTTTATTACTTTTTTAGTAAATTGTTATTCTTATTATTATTATTATTATTATTATTATTATTATATATATAAATATATATAAAATAAAAATAGACTTAGATCAAATATAATAAGAATTTTACGTCATTATGCATTAATTACATCCTAGTTATAGTAATTTACACTATTCCTTAAAACAAATCTCTAAGCATTAATTGTAATCAATTTTAAATTCCCTTAACCACCAGATTTATTTTTTTAAAAAAATACTCCATAATATTGGATTAAACACTAAATTTGGCTGTTTGAAATTAATTC